TTCCAGAATAATCTTAAGCCGGGTAAATCGTTTCACCACTGTTTAGCCATTTAAGTCTACAAGGTGTATACTTTCCGCATAAGCAAAGTCATGTGTTCCTCCATGCGTTTGAGAGGATAAACTGTCCATTTAACAAAATTCCGCAGTGAATGAGGACTATGATGTATATATCATAAGGAGCATTAATACACTCATAAGTGTGATGGTGTTGGAATGGACATTGCGGGGTTTTGTAAAACTTCAAAATAAGAAACTTTATAAAATCCAAAACCGTTATTTCTTGACAGTCTGTCAGCGCTTGTATGAAAATATTACTTTTCTCCGTACAGTATTGGACGTTTCCAGACGAATAAAGGAACTGAAAGCTGTCTTCTAACTAGTCGTGCTCATCCCGCTACGGTCTCTTCAAAGCATCCTTAGTTATTCATAGGGAGGCTTTTCTCGCATTTTACAATTTCAAGTACGATTAGTAAGTGCTTCAAAACTAAAAAAGCATTTAGATAATGAAAGGGCTGCCCTTCAAACACCGGCTAAGATCAACTGCTGCATGCGTAAACACAACAACCTCTGACTGTCAGGCTGTTTGCCAAGGATTCTGAACAAAACTTCAAAATATTAAAAAGCGATTGAAGCACAAACAAAAATCCAAAGTAACTACCTCGAAGGTGTAATAATTTTTTTTCTCAGCAAATCTATAGATTGGGACGAATCCAACAGCAGACCGCTCTAGAACGAGCAACTCAGAGCTGGCATTGACCATTTAGAAGGACATTTTGGGAGGTCAACTCGATTCCCCTTCATTAAAGGCAATCCGGTTTCAGCTTTTAAGCCAACGGACGGTGTTTGTTCATTTTTGACTGACATGCAAGCTGCGCAGTCTAGCAATGACGTTCACAGAACTGCATTTGTTGCAAGACACTTTACTGTGGCAAGTTTGTTTTCCCCTCCCGTCTTCAGGTCTTGAGCGCGCGCTGATGGTCCCTCGTGTCTGATAGCTGGGGCGTCTTACTGCCTGATGAACGCAAATAAAACAATGATCGCCGCTGCAGAAGCTCTTTGTTCTGTCGGGAACATTTCTTGGTCGCCAGTATGTAAGCTAATGGGTTCTTTTGTCCAGTGAGAAAATGAGTTGAAATGGGTTTGAGCTGGAACATGACATTGAAAATGGACAGCTAAGTACGCGATGGATTCAGTTTCCGGCAATAAACTAAAGAATTATTATTAAAAGTCGGATTCATAAAGCCACTATCTCTCTTCATTCGAATTAAGGCCTGTAATACTGGTATTCGCATCAGTCCGTCAATTTATATTAGAGTTTATTGCGAACGCTCGTTAGATGTATAAGCGCATGCTGGTACAGTTTGTGTAAAACGGCGGACAAACTAACAGGATTTGAATACTGTACAACATGCCTTTTCCGCCTGGAAAATGCGACCTACAAGTCGACCTCTTTGTTTCTAGGTGCTATTTATGATTAGAGCTGACTACTGACATCTAACAGGCGAGACACGGTTGTTGACGAAATCGGTTGTTAGCAAAAACATGAATTCAATTTACTGATTGCTTCTGAAGGGGCATAAGACCTGATCTAGTAAGTGAACTCCAACATTTGCTATTCCAAAAAATATTTCCATTTTTAAATAAAAGGGGAAATACGAACAGCAGGATTATGCCGAAGGGGTGGTTTAGCAAGGATTATTCACTAAACGTTTTCCTTTTACGCAGATGCAAACTCCACAGCAGCCCGAGACGATTAAGTGTTTTTTCGGATTAAGGGGCGCCATTGAAGTATTTGCTGTATGCAAAGTAGCACCCAGATTTCGGTACGCAGAATATCTTCCCGAACTGTTATCAGCTGAGTCTTGCGGTGCGCGCCATGGTTAGAGGCTCTACAAAATGACAGTCAGTGGCCGATCTGATGAAATGTTAACTTAAATTCTGGAATGCGTTTTCCATTAGGGATGAATACTTAGGCGGGTTCGTAATGCTGATCGTCGTGCAGCAAAACTCCGGGATAATTCAGTCAGGGCAGAATGCGGGCTTTTAATATACATCTTGCCAACCGCCTGTAATAGTCGCACCCGTCATAGATAGCTACTTAAGTAGGATGTTTATTCTCTTGATTTTCGATGTGCTCACAAATTCAAATTTGTTTCACACAGGACAAGCGACAAAATGTGTTTGGCAGCGGATTAAGCCACCGTTGATTTGCATACCTGGAGAAGGCTATGCTTGGGTTTTAAAAAGTTTTTCAATTCCGGAATAATTTTGAGTCAGACCTGCCGTCGCATACGTGCTCGGAATTTGGAGTACAAATGCTGTACACTTTACGTAAGGAAAACTATACATATCTCTGAATCATAAAGATGATGTAGTACAAGACTCCTATAATTTCTCAACGGATGTGGACTATGTTGTATACTTTATAAGCAGCATAAATGAATTAACAGATGAAATGATATTTTTGTTGACATTTTGCGGTCTTAAAGTCTTGCAAAGGTTTTAAAACCGAGAAAACACACTTTTTAATTATGGAATCTGGCAAAGACGCGAACTGCTATCACATGAGTAAAGGAAAACGAATAGTAGCGCGTGTTTTCTATAAAATAAATTTGTATTTATACGAATATAAAAATTCAGTAAGAGAAAATGCATACTACGAAAAAGTCCACTCCCTACTGAGGGCGGTTTTTTTCCGGCGGACGAGTAGAAATGCCTTTAGAAGTCGGCATCTCACCGTGACTGAATTATATTGAATTAATGCTGCACGATGTTCACTATGACAAATCCACTTAAGCAATCCTTTCTAATTGATAACGCATTCCAGAATTCCGGTTTGCATTACAGGAGATTGGTCACAGAATGTTGATGAAACAGGGGTTTACAGGCGGTGGTCAATTTTACAGGTCAGTCGTACTATGTGTACAAAAATATCGCTGTGTGGTAAGTGGCTAAACAAACATCCAAAAATGATAATTCAGAGACAGGAACAACAGTTCCAACAACATTTTTAGACCTATCCGGGCATTTTATTATTAAAAACAGTTCTTGCAACCATAAGAGTCAAAAAGCGTGGATAGGCACATGGTGTGCATGCCTAGTTTATTTCATATAAATTTGGCTGCATAAGGTCCGGATTCAACCATGTTGAAAACGGTTTCAGCAAAACAATAATAGGACCGGAAGTCAATAAATGCTGCGGATGTTTGTCAGGAAATGGCAAAAAAAACATTCGCTGGAAACGAGACGTTAAGAATTACGCACTTGCTGTTTGGCGCATTGGAAGAGCTCCTAAAATTGTTGCCGAGTAACCTGGGAAGTGAAAAAGTGGACAAACCGAATCGGAAATCCGCTGGCAGTCTCTGAACTTAAAGGATCCACTTCTGGTCTGCAAAGTAGAATGGGAACAGCCAACCAAGTCCCGAAAAGAAAGACCCCGTCAGAAACCAGCTGATTGAATACTCACTACACTGGCTGTTACTTACCAGCACAACCAAGTCTGAAACCGCGGGGCGGTCCAAGGCTACTCAGATGGGCGAGTGTTGTGTCAACTGCTGATACACATCGAGACAGCCAAGAAAACACATCGGTCATATAGACCGTCTATGAATCATCCGGACTTTTTGTAGGCATGACTCGGATGGGGTTATTATTCGGTTATTGGAGGCACAACAGATAATAAAAACATTTCAAACTTTGCCACCTTCTCTATCACTACATCATTGATAGACAGTTATATATATGAGAAAGTGAAGGCTCTTCGGAAAACTGAGTTGTACTCGTAAATTTTCAAGTCGGTGACACAGACCCGTCGTCAGACGAAATGAACAGAGGGAAAGTGAAGTCGGCAGACTAGGTGGGCTGGCGCGACAGGACAGACAACGACAAACAGACAGCTGATGTGTGAGAGGGGTGGGCACCCAGTTATGGTAGGCCGTGGGGCATGAGGAGGGAAGGAAGAACCGTTAGGGCTCCCAGTGTTGGAGGCGATGAAAACGCGGGGGGGCGGGGATT